ATGGAAACTGCCTCACCCAGAACGTGGTCTACAAAGCCGAAATCACAACTCAAAACGACACGAAACAGTACATTGGATTAACGGAGAACACCTTCAAATGCAGATACACCACACACAAGCACTCCTTCAATCATCGCAAGAATCAGAACAGCACGAGACTGTCAAAATATATATGGGAACTGAAAGAAAGCAACACCCCCTTCACCATTAAATAGAACATAATAAAACGAGCACCCCCATATAACAATATCACTAAACGCTGCAACCTATGCCTAACAGAAAAGTATTACATCATCGCATCCGACCGTAACAAAACATTAAACAAACGATCAGAGTTGATCTCCGCTTGTGCTGTCGTCACCGCAACAAATACTTGCTCAAGAACTGTTAATTTCCACGCCCACTTTCTACAAACCTCACGCCCATCACTTATAATATACCTGTTCCTAATGAAAGCATTTTCTCCCAGCTGTAAATTCCACAACACGTATATATATACCATCCTTTCTGCTCAATAACCCAGACCTGACGATTGCACATTGCATGAAACTTCAATAGTCGAAAATAAAATCCTTACACGTATCGTTGTCTACCTACATTATATTTGCTCTACCACGATTTTACAGTGGCATTGAGCACTGTTTCCCAAAAAATTGAGAGATTCTTTCTTTATATTTATATATATATATATAAATTATATATAATTTGGTTTTTTTTCTGATTAGGCCTACATTACACTGTATATAGGCCTGATATACATTATAACATCTAATATATAATTATGTTATATATCTCCCTGGTTATATAGTATAATTCCAATTTCATTTTAAGGTACTACTTGTCACCTACATTTCAATATTTTAAAATATTTTTAATACACAAATCGATTCATCTATTTGTGTAAATATATTTTCAGTAAAAAAATATATTACATACAACGTATTGTTACATTAGTATCAATATTTCGTACGTGACTATAATATATCTATGATCCGAGCTGAAGAAGGAGAGCCATTTTACATCTGGTACCACGCGGATGAATATCATCTTCTCAGATTCCAGATCTATCTCTGAGTCCGTTGCGATCACACTAAAGTAAAAACAAGAAACTCGCTACACTGAAGGTAAACATGCAAGGTGTTGGGTAATGAAGTGCTGGTGTTACAAAAACACAGTTTTGTCTAGTGTAGCGGGAGAAGAAAGTCTAAACTTTAGACTGGCATGGGCATTACATGTTGTGTGAATTGCCAATTGCCATGAATGTTCGTCGTTTGTGCTTTAGATCGAGTTATGCCTGAGCCTACTCAATTTAGTTCTGCCTGCTGTACTTACTCTATCCAACACGGGCAATCGCTTCGAAGATGGGCTGCGGCAGTGGAAAGCTAGCCCCGGATTCTCCGATCATTGGTAAGAAGAAGGACTTAGTAAAACAAGTGGAAACAGGCTTTGGGAATGGCGTAACTCCCTACTCTAAACCTGACAATTCACGCCCAAAGATTCCTAAATACAAGGTAAAAGTTGATCCGAGAGTGACAGCCAAATATGTTATTAAAGCACTGATTGGAACGGGCAGTTTCAGTAGGGTGGTTCGGGTTGAACATCGAACAACCAAACAACCATATGCGATTAAGATGGTAGAGAAGAGGAAGGAGGGAAAAGAGGTTTGTGAAACAGAATTATCAATTCTCCGAAGAGTAAGGCATTCACATATTATCCAGTTGATAGAAGTATTTGACAGTAAGGACAGAATATACATGGTGATGGAACTCGCAACCGGTGGAGAGTTATTTGATCGCATTGTTTCCAAAGGTAATTTTAATGAACGAGATGCAACACATGTACTGAGAATGGTGTTAGATGCTGTGAAGTATTTGCATAATTTGGGTATTACCCACAGAGACATCAAGCCAGAAAACTTACTATATTATCATCCGGGTAAAAATTCTAAGATTATGATTACAGACTTTGGATTAGCAAGTTGTCGCAAAGGTGGCGATGATGTAATGATGAACACAACATGTGGAACTCCTGAATATATCGCACCAGAGATTTTATGTCGGAAATCGTATACAAATGCAGTGGACCTTTGGGCAATAGGTGTAGTAACCTATATTTTATTAAGTGGTAGAATGCCATTTGATGATGAAAATAGAACTAGACTGTATAGAAAAATATTACGAGCAAAGTATGCATATACTGGCGAGGTAAGTTCAAGTTTTTATGCTTATTTTTGCTTGCATATAACCAGCAAAATCTATTTGACTGGTAGCTGTTTATTTTTGTTATTCCTCTACCTGACTACATTATTTCTTCTTGAGAAGTAATAAATATTGGTCATGATGTATATTGTTCTCACAAACCTTTGTAACTCTGAGGTGTTAATTGGTGGAGTTTTCTTGACCCTGACCTTAAACTTTAGTCATTGCTAACTAAATGCACTATGGCATGTTGAAATAATATTCATAGTGATGAATATTTGAATGTTTTATGTTCAGTGGAACCTCTAGTCACATACACTTTGCGATAAACAGTGGTAGTAAGTAATGGGAAATGGTCGTAAATCAGAATTTAAGGTCAATGTAAGGTCAAATTCTCGAAGAAGTCCTATCTTTCACATGAATACATTGCTACGTGTAGACAAATAGCCAATTTACTTGTTAAAAGTGCATTTCTGAGATCATTATCTTGTTTCATTAATTAATTTGGTTTAAAAAAGTCACCTATTTGACAATGGATTCCCTATTAGTTGACACAAAGCAAAGCCTGGGAAAAGTAGGATTGAACGTGTGTACCGGAAGCGACAGCCTGAAGCTTGGAGCTACAGCGCAGCAGAGGTTAGAGAACAACACTGGCTGATAAATGTTTGTGATTTGTTTTTATGCAGATACTGAAAATAGGGTTTTAATTTTATATGTTTTAGTCCACTCGTATAGATCGAGTTGACTATTTGATATAAGATGCCGTAGCATAAGAAACGTTTGTTCATAATTCATGTACCTTCCTTTATGCTTTAAAGCTTAAATGTATGAAGGATTTTGGGGTAAATTTACAAAAAGATCTGAAATTCATATTTTAGGCCTAATTTATTGATCTTATATATATGTTTAAATATAGGAAGATTTGCTGTATTCAAGCATGTTCTTCATTGGTTTGATTTCTATTATTTTGCTTAATTCCACCAACCAGGGCCACTCATAAGCAGTCTGGTTACAGCATGTTAGCAAGATAATTTGCACTGGTCTAGTCTATAAACACCAGACATAATAATAAATTTTAGGTCACTGCCATCATGTTCTGTTAAGTTGGAAGACATTTAAGATGCCTGGACTCTAAGACTAATAACTCCATTATTTTTATTCTATGAGTATATAGGCTATTTTGGTAGGTAAACTGCCATATAATAATCAAAAGTTGTCCTTACAGTATTTAAAAGAGAGATACAGATGTAATGTTCATAAAAGTCTAAATTTTGTTTTAAATTTTAAACAACGGTAACTTTAAAGTCAACATATCAAAAACAGTTATTTTTTGCCTTTTATATCACAGCCTCCGCTAGTAAAATTCACTATTTTGAGCACACTACACAGAATCGCATTTAATAATAAAATCATTTTCAGAATGTCTAATTGATTTCACTGTTGGACATGTTTAAATCAGTGGCCATTTTAACAATGTGCCTTTACAGTAGTTGTATTAAATCTATTTTTTTCTGAAAAATATTTGTGCCTAAAAATTTAGACCATCCATGAAAAGAATAGCATATGGATGTGAAACAAATATGAATTTAGCTTTAATGAGGAATTCTGAAAGTTAAAAAAGAACAATGGGGTAAAATGTAAATCTATTGACCATATTTGCACAAAGTGATTGATGCTGTGATGTCTGTCAGTAGTGTATTAGGCTCTGATAAATTTTACACATACCTAGCCAAGAAAATTTGTTCACCAGAGGGAAATTGGGATGTAATAGAAAAAAAACTATATGAAATTACAGACTGAACTAAACTGAGTCGACAGCCTCAGTCAGCGTTGCTCGCTCCACTCTCATACTGTATGTCATGCATGTTGCCCTTGACATTTAAGGTTTATATTAAACTTTTGTTTTTTTATAAGAACACAATTTATAAGAACACTGAGGATGAAATTTCTTGAAAATTAAGAATAATATATAAGAACAAATTAAGACTGAGGTAAAATGTCAAATGAGATTTTTATATTAAAAAACTAGAAAAACCAAACAATTATATCTACCTTATGTGCAGTAGGTATGACTATGTAAAAAATACACTATAATGCAGTACAGTAGGTGTACCGCCTGTCATTTGGGGCCCTTTTTTCAGGGTCCTTTTTTTCAGGGACCATTTTTTCCTTGGCCAATTTTTACCTACATTCCAGTACAGTGTATACTGCTGTACAATAATAATTTTCTATGTTTATAAAGTGTGTAACATAAGAACAAAATAAGAACATTTTGAGCCTACAAATCAGCCAAAAAATAAGAACAATGAGCCTGAGCAAAATCTTACTGGTACTTATAAAACAAATAAAAGTGTACTGTAGTAAAGTGATCAACTGTAAAAGTTTAGATATAATTCTGTTTACTACCATTGCACAGATAACTTTTAACATTTTACAAGTTTATACTGTATAAATGAGTAAAGTTTAAGTCTGAAGTACTGTATAATTCTTTCTACTTATCTTTATAGTTGAAAAAAAAAACTGAACTATATAATGGTATAATTTACACAATATCTTGTGATATACACTATCCAAAAGTATGTCATGCAACTTTTCATTTAAAACATTATTTAAGTAGTTTGGTCAATAAATATTATAAACCATTTAAGAGTGAGCGGTCATTCACAATTATCAACATTTTCACAAGTGCACAAACAATACGCTAGGGGTAAGGGGTAGACAAATGTGTACACATTTACATATGCATGAAAATATTATTCAAATTAACATGTAATATTTAAAATAATAGTGTTTTATGCCAAATTATAATGCAACTATGAATATAATTAGACATTTTTATGAAACCAAGTACAGTACTTAATTGATGTTTCAAAAAATGGAGAATGGTTTTTGACAAAAAAAAATCTAAATTTGATTTGTACACTTTCAGAGGGGAGGGAGGATTAAAAAAGAGTAGACATACTATTTGTATGCTTGCAAAAATGTAGATATTGTGAACGGCCCTAATCTTTAAAACTATTAATCATGATGGTTAAGTTATTGGAGCATATGTTTTGGGATCTAGATGCATTGATCAACTAGACAAAATAGGTAATTATAGAAATTATTCATGTGATTTTTAATACAAGGTAGGAATAGAAGTGGAGACCATTGCGAGGCCATACGGATGGGATTAGCAGGCATTTCGAGTGGTTCCTCGTTATTCAATCTAAAGTTTTGAACTTGAGAAAGCATATTTTGTAATTTTAATACTATTTGTCCAATGATACAGTATTTAGTTTTTGGAATTTATAAGTATTGGTAGTTATAGTACTATAGAATATATAGTACTGTAGGCATATTTCCTACCTCTTTTAACATTTTTTGCAGGCTAAAATTACCATTATAAGATAGTCCATGATTATAAGCATATTTTCTTTACACTCAACTTTTTTCTTACTTGACTTTGTTGCCCTGTAATTGAATCATACTGATCACGCCTCTCCTTCCTTTCAGATTATCTAGTAAAAACCCAGAGACCAAGAGCACTGCAGAGTATTGCAAATGCTGTACTTTACAGGGGCTCAGGCAGGCCAATTGAAATTTGTATGAATTAACTGTGTTATGTCCTGCCAAGAACGAATTGATTCCCAGCTCTGTGTGGGTCTCATGAAATTCTGAAGAATGCTCCAATTAGACAGGAATTGTTTCAGATGGTGCTGGTCTTTGGCTCTTGTTAGATCTTGTTACTGGGGGATAAAAAAAAATTAGGGGAAAAACTCAAGGCTAAAGGACTTGCAGTGCATGTGTTATGGAGGTACATGATTTGATATTCATCCTTTTAGTCTGTGCTTAAAATTAGTAAAGGAATGTGTTATTATTTACTATACTTCCAATGAAATTAGTAGTTTTTTTGCATTTTAATACAAACATATTCTTAAGTTGTACAGTATTTGCTGCGAAGCAGCCAATTCATATTCTTGACAGCAATTTGACCTCTGAAAGGTCATTGTTTGTCAAAAAACAGGGGCCTACGATGACTGAAAAGCGGAGTTTCCTTCTTTCGTTCTGCCAGGTAAAATCAATTACTTTAGGCAACGTTTGTAGACTAACCTACTCGTACCAACGTCAGCATGTCGCGACGCTGGAGTATTACTATTCAGCGTTTTTACTATATTTCTAGGTTTCCTATTTGTATGTTTAATCGGCCCATGTCTTAGCCACAATATTTTGAGGCCAATATTATTTACGAACCCAGTTAAACTTATTTACTAGCCTATTTCAGCGTGCTAGTTATTACATTTAGGCGACGCTTGTTGTAGACTGGCATACACGGTACCAACACTGTTCTAATATAGACAATGGGTCGTGTCTCATACTGTATTATTTGTTATATTTTTATTATTCATTATTTTCACTTGACTCGCATAAATAATTTTGTTCGAAGAACATTTATATGCAGTTGTACTTCACAGCACTTCACTTGCAATTTGCAATTTCTAGTATAATAATATAAACAATTGATTTATTAATATTGTAATTTTATTCATGATCAGAATGCAATTTTTAGTTTGAAATTATTATTTTTTTAACACAATGATACTAGTACTGCCAACGTACAGTAGTATAGCTCGAGGAACCTTCACGAATAACTAACAATAGCGATTGACACACTATTATGGTAGGTAGCCATTCGGTGTGTAATTAATCATCATTTAAGCTGGCAGGACAGGTTCAATGAAACAGCCAACCTCCTAGCCTAATTTGCCTTTAGCAGTTCATTTGCTAATTTTTCCTTTGTGTACCTCCTTGCATACATTACACAAAAAACAATAAGAAATTCAGAGATTTTAGCAGCATATGTTGTAGTAGCAACAACAGCTGAATGCCCTGGCCTGTCTGCACTACTGTTCTACAAGTCTGCTTTTGCAATATGTGCATGTAAACTCATTAACTACAAGGCTAAACTTACTACATATAACAAACTTTTCGGAGCACAATAAAACCAAATTAAATAAAATTTCCTT